AGGTTCCGTATTTTCCTACAAAACCTATTTTTTTCTCTACGGAACTTAAAAAGGTTTCGAAGAAAAAAGGATCTTCACTTGGGTACACGGTAAGATCCTTTAAAGGTTTCGTAGATTTTTTTATTCTATTTTTGAAACATTGAACACATTTGCACGCTTTTCGTCATCTACCGAACCTTTTTTTAAGGTTCGGTAAAGTACCTTTTTTTTTTACAGTGTAGGAGGCAACTTATAAATTCTTTTCCCTTATAATACTTAGAGTTGACCAAAAGTTCTGATCCTGGTGTTTGAAATTTTATAAAAAATTTAATATCGAAAGTTTTATTGTTCGAATTCACAGTAGATGTCTCGTCTACAATAATGTATATAACAACGGTGTCTTGGATTTAATTCTAACATTCTTTTAGATTAAGATAGTAAAGAATATTTTTGAAAAAGAATTTAAAAAACTTTCAATAAACTCTTAGAAAGAATGGAACTTTGTATCAATAATAATTGTGACTATTTTGAACATTTAATAAGGTAGAAAAAAAATATCTTCTTTTGTATATTTTTGTGTGATGTTATCAGAACTTTTGGTCAGCCGTAAGTAAACTTTATCTGATAAAATGGTAGACTTAAAGTAACTAATTTATTCATTTGAAAAACCAGGATCAGAACGCTCGATCAACCCTAGATATGTAGCGTAAAGTTGCCTGAAAAACGTTATGAAGGTTTTATCAATACACTATCCCTCATTGGCTAACAACCAACGAAGTCATAGCATCAAATGTAACAAGCTTTCTAGATCTAGACACTCTGGAATTCGGTTACTCTACATCTAAGTTTGATTCTTCTGTGAGCATTGATTGAAGTAGAAACTGAATTCAATCCAGTTTGTAAACTAATGAACGCCGCGTAGTACGCTTCGTCGTAAAAGAAAGAAGATCTGGCTCAACAACCTTATAGAAAAAAAGAGTGGCTTCACGAATGAATGGTGGGTACAAAATTGAAAAAAAACTGTTTGAAAGGACTTTGTTCGATTTCTTGGTCTATTTTGAATCAGGATATCATATGTGCTTTTGTAGAGAGATTCATGCTGCATCGAATGGCATATACGATATCGAATTTTCGTCAAATTTTGGTCATGATCTCTAAGAAGTTCTAAGATAATGTTATTCACATTTTGTTGTTAAATTCAGTTCGATACAGTTGTAGATGCTCTACATTTTATAATGTTAATAGTTTTCATCGGTACTTTCTTCTGCGTACATAGAAAATAGATAGAGATTTGCGGGTTTCATCATTCGAAAGAACAAACAAAGATGCATTGAATTGTACTCTATAGTTTTATTATTGTAACATGAATTTTTTAAGGTTTCCAATGAGTCCCTTTGAAAAAAGTCACCGCGTGATGTGTTCAAAATAGTTTTTCGATTGTCACGTGTATATTCAAATCAGCAATGGAAGTTTTGCAAGACTATATAATTTTCAGATGTTCAGAATTACTCATTCAAGTGTTACAGATATTCTAGTCGAAGCTCCGAATGATTTTCCTGGCCCATTCTAGGAAAATAGTATTTTGTTTCCTTTTTGAAAAAATAACCGTTTCTTCCATACTTACAAAAGAAACGATTAAAAAGCTTCAGCCAATGTACTCAGAAAGCCTATAGTATCCTGTTCGATGTACCGTCATACCCTCTTTCGAACGATGAAAACCGCAGGTCTTTATCTTTTTTTTTTATTATAGTTCATTCCAAAAATACCCACTCGCTCTTTCTCTTAAATGGGCATTAGTATCATAGTCGCATATGACACAAAAAAAAGCTCTCATCAAGATTTTATCATTATGACATCAGCTGAACAATGATGAAATAGCATAGAATGCTTAGGCTTACTGTGCGGTGATAAAGTAGCACAGCTACTATTTTTGCTTCTCCTAACTAAACTCTTGATAAACAGAACAAAACTTCTCGACCTGAAGACTTCTCGAGAGGTGTGCATGCTTAGGATCGCAAGAGAGAGTATACCATTCGATGCTGCACGAGCTCCTCTACAAAATCACATATGATATCCTGCTTTAAGGTAGAACACCACGTTCGGTAAGGTCCTTTTATCCTAAGTCTTCCGTATTCACAGTGAACGTATAATTATAGAAATTTATCAGAACCGGCCGTTGCCATGATTTTTATGAATGAACTCCGCAATAATTTTTGGAAGATTTGACAAGTTTCAATCGCTCTTGAATTTCCTGCACTACTGGGTTGAACTACAGCGCTCGATAAACTTAGTTAACACTCTTTGCAAAATACCATCGTTTGGAATATTTTGAAGTGATATTTGAAGTTAGTGCTAGTCTTACGAGGAAGGTATCCCAGATGATTAATCGTTTTTGAGTTTGAACTCTTTGGATAAAGTAGATCGCAGTAAGGTATGAAAAACTCCAATAGAATGAGGGCTCATAGGCCTTCTCTCCAGAGTTATAGGTATTTCACTGAAATTTTAGCCTATAAAATGGTATATACTAACAAATCGAATGACAATATTTTAACCTGAAATTTGTTTGCAGAACGATCTACTTGTAGTTATAATGCTGTAAAACTTTCAGCTAAAAGAAGTCGTCCGTTCCCAAGATATTGAATTTCCAACAAGACATGAGACTCTTACATCTTTCATGGAGTATGAGTGACTTTTGGAAATTCAATATCTCGTCAAGGAAACATTTCTTTCAGTTGAAAATTTCCGAGCATTATATTTACAAGTGGAACTATCTATGGGCGAAATGTTGGGTCAAAATACCGCCATTCGATTTTTTTGTGTATACGGTGCTATAGACTAAAAATCCAGTAAAATGGCTACAACTGTATAGAGAATGCCTATGGCCCTTATCTTTTTGATGCTTTTTTATCCCTCACTTGGGTCAACCTTATGCACAGAGTTCGAACTCAAAAACGATTAATCACTTTGGGTGCTTCCCTCATAAGTGCACTCTGATTGAAAACATCATCTCAACTTCAATTCCATTATATTCACTACAATTATCACTTAAGTACTATTAACACCTGGTGAGCGTCATGTTTCGATGTTTTTTGGCGTCTACTACTGCTCAACCTCTCACTCGGTAGCCAAATGATACAGTCATCTTCAGTAAGGCTTTATGGAGAAATCAATTGGAAATAACGCAGACTTGCCTGTGGTGTATAACATTGACATTAATTACTAGTAGGCCCTGGTTTGAAGTCTGCTATAAAAAAGACGAGTTAGTCTCGATCAAATCATCTGAAAATTTTAGTAATATATTTCTATGGTCCCTAAGTTTCTGATGGATTTAGAGATGTGACAGAGCCACCAAGAAACTTTCTGATAGAATAGCTCGTGAATTGTACAAGTTATGATACTATGCAGTGAGCTTCGAATCTAACAGACTTGGTAAATATGACTACCATGAGAGATAAAAAGGAAACCACGAATAAATCAGTCAAACAAGAAACGGAAAGCAAACATCTACTTCTATGGCATTTCATTTTCACTTGTTCAACAAATGATATAAAGTACATTGATGTACATGCAACTCTGCTGTTATAATCATTTTAGATTTATTGATGAGACAATATTCTTCTTCAATCGATGAAGCAAAATTTTTGTGGCATCACCTAGTTGGTTTTCAAGCCAAATCTTTCATAAGAAATAAGATACTTCCTTCCTGTTTCGTATTTGAATAATTCATTCGCGTCCATTTATCTCTAAGGATAGTCATATATATCAAGTTTCTTGGAACGAAAATTCACTACATAGTATTAAAAGTTTCACAATTTACGAGCTGTTCTATGCTGAGCTTTCTTGATGACTCGGCCGCATCTTTATGTGAAGTAATAGTTTTCAATATTCCATCAAAAGCTTTGACAGTCCTGGAAGCACATTACTAAAATTTCCAGATGAATTGATCAGAATCAGCAAGAGTTATTGATATCAGACTTAAGATCAGGGTCTACTAGTTATTGATGGAGATGTCGTATACGTTCGTCAGATCTTCGTTATTTCGGATTAATTTCTCAACGGATTCTTACTATTGATCACTGCATCAGTGAGATCTCGAACAGGGAGACTGTGCGCTGGTAGATACCAAAAAACCGATTGAGACATTACAATTACAAGTTGTCGATAGTATTGAAATACATGTAGCGCATATCATGAAATGAAGGGTAGTGTGGTGCTTTTGATCACAATACAGTAAGACCAGCACGGACTCTAAAAATTACCTAGAAGTGATGTGAAATGATGGTATTGCGACCGACTAGTACCTATTTTTAATGAAGACTGTACCTTTGACGATTTTCAATTTCTCGGATCCTTAATGACAGTTTACATTAGCAAGGTGTAGTTACTGAGAACGAATGACATAAACATACATTTAGGCAGTTATTTCCAGAATCGAAAGTTTTATATTTATGGAGACATTCATATTATTTAGTAGATGTTTAAGGAAAACCAACTCATTCGAAGAGTCTACATGCGAGCGGCCACCGGTTCTACTACTATGAATGGCTCATTGTCGACGTTATCAAAGGATGATATCATAAACATCACTGTAGATAGTATATTTGTCAGAAAATGCCTCAAATAAGAACTTACTTCTCTCTTTCATGTTAGAAATATTTCAACCTAATCGTACAGCATAACATTTTGAGGAAGGACTTGAAACTGTAACTATTTTTATAGTGGACTTAGCTCAATGATCAGCCAAAATCATCAACCTGGGAAGTTTCAGTAAATCTTTGGAAATGCTCAGAATATGATTCTTCATTAAACAACGATATTATGATAAAATAATCATGCATTTTATTAGGTCGCATTAATTAGTTCACTATCTCTTCTCATATTTTAATCTTAACCCTTGGAGTACCAGCCGGGGTCATTTTTGACCCCACGCTCGAAATCTCCGAAAAATGCTAAACATGTTTTGTTGTTTCGCAGTTTTCAGCAGCAGCTAGTAACCTTTACGAAGAGATATATGATAATGAATCTAGAACGAAATACATTCTTTCTCCATATTAGTGCGCCCCCTTAGTAAAACATTGTATCAGTAATATGTTTTTTACAAAACGGAGAAACAATGAAAATTCTAATGTCTAATAAAATGAGTCATTCTCTGATCTAAAGGGGTGTGCATTTTCAATCCATTGAAATATTTTTCATAAAGATTATGGACAGTTCAAGTGAAACCGGAAGCGACAGTGATTATTTCGATGATGCAAACAGCGGTTCGGAAACGGGAGATGGCGAAAGCCAAACATCCGACGATGATGATGAAATTGATTTAGAAAACCTAAAATTAGACGATGACTCCACATGGAAAAGTTCGTATACTTCCCGTTCTGGAATGATTTGGTCCTCAACTCCTCATCATTCAACGAAAAATGATTTTTCGAATGATGTTATTCAAAAAGCTGGTCTTACAAATACCAGTGAAAATATTTCATCTGTCGAAGATGCATTCATGTGTTTTATGCCAAACAAACTTCTGGAAAAAAATCTTGGATTATTCAAACTTGGAGTATACTCACAAGAATACCTCCACGAAAAAAATTGAAGAAATAACACTCATAGAATTGAAAGCATTTATTGGACTTTTATTGCTTGCTGGTTTATTGGGGAAATCGAAGATCGATCTGAAATGCTTATGGAGAAGAAGTCCATTAGAACCGCCAATATTCAAAGCCACTATGTCAAGAACTCGTTTTCAGGATATTATTTCTTGTTTGAGATTTGACGACAAAAGAACAAGGGAAGAAAGAAAACGAACAGATAAATTTGCAGCAATTCGTGAAATCTGGTCATATTTCCAAAATTGCTTACAAACATGTTACACACCGGGATCAAATGTTACTATTGATGAACAACTACTAGGATTTAGAGGAAAATGTTCCTTCCGTCAATATATGCCAAAAAAGCCTGACAAATACGGATTAAAATTTTGGCTATGCGTTGATGTGGACTCACATTATGTATTCAATGCATTTCCTTACGTTGGACGACAACCGAATGAGCAAAGACAAACACAGATAGGTGCCAAAGTCGTTCTAGAATTACTCAAACCACTTTACGGCTTCCAAAGAAACGTTACAATAGATAATTTCTTCACAAGTGTTCCATTAGCCCAAACGCTTCAAACAAAGAATCTGACTCTTATAGGAACACTGCGAAAAAACAAGTCAGAAATACCTATCGAGTTTCAATCCAACGAAAATCGTGAAGTGGGTTCTTCGCTCTTTGGTTTCCAAGATGGTTTAACCTTAGTTTCATTTGTCCCAAAACAGAATAAAGCTGTTTTATTGCTCTCCTCAAAACATCACGACAATCAAGTGGACAATAAAACTGGAAAACCGATCATTATATTGGATTATAACAAAACAAAGGGGGCTGTCGATACTGTTGATCAAATGTGTCATAAATACACGGTAAAAAATATTTCAGTATTTCTATAGCTTATTTTACTTTTCAGGTAAAACGAGGTACAAAGCGATGGCCAGTTTGTATTTTCTATGGGATGATAGACATTGCTGCCATAAATGCTCTGATTGTCTGGAAAGTGAAAAATCCTCAATGGAATCAGAATACAAATCATAAACGTCGATTATTTTTGGAAGAATTAGGATTAGCACTGGTATCGCATCTGTTGGATTTTCGTTCGAAGAACTCGAAATTTTTGAACACAGATATTCTAAATGCTTTAGCAATCGTCGGTTATCCTGTGTCGAAGAACGATCCGGCAGAAGCGAATGAAAATCCCACTCAACCAAAACGAAAAAGGTGCTCCATTTGTGAACGTTCTACGGACAAGAAAACATCAATTCAATGTTTCAGTTGTTCTTCGTTCGTTTGTAGTGATCATTCTGTCAAACGTGTCTTTTGTATTAATTGTTCTAAATAAGGAACATCGTTCTCATTTTTTTCTATAGAATAAAACAAGAAAAGGTCAGATCTTACGAAAATATTGGCTGAAAAGTAAAAGGATTATTAAAAAAGAACACATGTCATCAAAATCACGGTTAAAAGAGGCCGGTACTCCAAGGGTTAATAAAGCACATCATCTTGTTACCGAGAAAAACTATTTAATAATAGGAGTTTTCCGATTGTTCTCTGGCATTATTTTCTCTTAAATGAACGGAATTGATCTTTGTCGAACTTACATTATTGCAAAAATATTATTTTTTTCCTAGTTCGGTGATCAAAGTATTTTTTTTATAGTGACTGTTTAATTTAAAATTCATGGTATAAATTAGAAATGCAAGCTGTCTGATGTTTTTCAGGTCGATAACGGTAGATACCGATCTCCTCAGAATAGGCTACACTGTAAAAAAAAAAGAGCAGAATAATAAACTTTTCCTCTAAGTAAAACTTTTCGTAGACCCTTCAATGATTCAAGAGTCGAAGGTTTTACTATTTTCTATGGCATATGGTGGCAAACTACAATAAATGCATACAAAGAATACGTGAAAAAGCAATTGAAGTGTACTTTGAACGTAAACATCTCTCGTGCACGACTATGAGATACAACCCTAAACTGTCGCAATTTAGTTTTGGGTTCAGATTCTTATCTCGATTAAGACTATTACTTTTCAATCTAAACATAAAATGTAATGATGAGTGTCCATTGGAAAAATAAAGCATGTTAACTATTTGGACTTATCTCAATCCGGAGTGCCAGTTTATCTTTACTGAATAAAAAATACAAATGAATAAATAGAAATAAAATCTATATTATTTAAATAACAAGCATAAATTAACTCTCACACGTTCTCCTAGAATTCATTCCGATCCCCATGGGATTCTTTTTATTGACTTTTAATTGTAGTCTTAGACAGGGTCTTGTTTTTCCAGCTATACTTAAGGAACAACTAGTATAATACGCCGATAATAAAAATCAATCAAGCCGAGGCTGTAAAAAAATAGTGTTACTTCAGGAATGATATGTTTCCAGGTTCACTGTATTTCGCTGAAGTACTAATTCTCATGAAGCAATAAGTCATGTCAAAACACGTAAAACGTCCTGGTAAGATTCTTTCCTGGTGAACATGGAAGTTTCAACAGAGTGCAACTTAAGTAAGAAAGTTTCGTTCCCAAAACATCATTTTGCTACATGACAATCATCATTACAGAGCAAATTTTGTTAGAATACATGTGATGTTTCGCACGCAATACACAATTTCAAACATTTTGAGAATAGAAGATAAGCAGAAAGTGATGAAAAATTACATAAATATCATTCAAAATAACTCTTGCTCTGTTTATTCTTCTTAGACCTATGTCTGCGTAATTCTTTCTAGAATGTAACACAATTTACATCGACTTTATGCGAATAGTATAAAACTTACAGAGATTTTAGGCCTCGTCCTATGAACACAACTAAAGCTTTAAAAATTTTTAAAAACATTGCGAAGAGGTCGGAATATGCAGGAAAATTGTAGATCTTTCAGCCAAAATTTGATCCCTGTAATTTCTCTATTTTAAATGAAAGAAAGCTGTAACTTTCCATATAGATACTATTCAATGAGATGATCATTTCATTCAGCGGAATTTTTTTTATCTGGCATTTTCTTCGTATCGAAAAGCTACCCACACAAATCAGCTTTTTCGGGTTTTTGAAAGCTAAAGTTCTTCAACAAAGTAAATATTTAATGGATGATTTTTTGTGCGTCAGAATCTCTCTTTGAATGTACTTTTCCGTGATAAGATTTGAAGAGGTTAAAAACCAAAACTAACCGCAAAGACGAGAGGTTTGAGGGAGAATTTCCACTTTTTTCGAAAATTTAGGATTTTTTGATTGGAAAATTAAGCACTATCTCTATAAAAAACCCAGGCATCGGATTGGACCCATAAAGTATAGGATTGTGTGATCACATAATATGTGAACTATCTAGATAATTCACATATTATGTGATCACACAATCCTATATTTTATGGGTCCAATCCGATGCCTGGAAAAACCCTTATATTTGAGATTTCGTTGCAGCACGCTACAACAAAAACGTGTTTACTTTCATTGCTAATGAGTTTGGAAATTGTGGAAGATCTCTGTGAAAATACCATTGAAAATCCATCACTCCTAAAAGCACCGGGCTTATATTGAAACTTCATTTTTTTGTTAGCTTGGTTTGAGTAGCCCACGAATGTGTACTGTGTTCCTCACCTTAATACTTAATTTTCCTCATTAAACGACTCCAAAATTGCGGAAAAAGTGAAAATCCTTCTCCAAACTTCTCGTCTTAGTGGGCAGATTTGATTTTAAACTTCTTCAAGTCTGATCACTGAAAAGTATGATCAAAGGCGATTCTGATGCATAAAAAATATCATTCATCAAATCTTGTACCTTGTTGGAGATATTTAGTGTCCAAAAACCTGAAACAACTGATTTTCGTGAAAAACTTTTTAATGCGAAGAAAACGTCTGAAAAAAAATTTTCCGCTTAAGGCGCCCCCACTCAAAAAACGTCAATTTTCGTCAAAAATTTCGAAATTGAAATAAATGCATGGGAAGATAGCCCGTCATCTGCGCTTTCATAAACGATAATTTGTTTTTCTCGTTACTTCATTTTTCTCAAAAAATTTTCAAGATTTCCGTCAACCCCTATTCGAAAAACCAGCTGTTTTTTGAAAAATCAAAAAATGTTTTTCGTTTTTTCTCGGTTTATGATTTTTTGATCTTTTGTCCAAGATTTCTCGGTCTGGGCTCTGTCAATATATTAAAATTTTTTTTTTGTTTGAAAGAGCGCGTCGAGATGCAGGGCAATATAGAGTCCTTTTTTTAATTAAGCTTTGTTTTTTATTATTTATACAGACACTTATGTGACTGGACACCCCTTTTTTGCGCGTTTTTTGAGTCATTGAACTTGTGAGCCCCTTTCTCCGCGAAGAAAGTAAGAATTTAAAAAAAAAGGACTCTATATTGCCCTGCATCCTGAGATGCTCTTTCAAACAAAAAAAAATTTAAATATATTGACAGAGTCCGGACCGAGAAATCTTGGACAGAAAATGAGCTATTTTTGACCCTTGCTGGGTTCATATCTCCGTCAAACATCAGTAAATGGAGCTGAAAATTTTACCACAGCCTCCCCACTTCAGCCCCAACATATGCTCCAAATTTCAGCTCATTTGAACGTTCCTGGACTGAGATCGATTTTTGAGTGGGGGGGCCTTAATAAAGTGACCATCTCATTAAATAGTGTCTCCTCTGAAAGCTTCACCTTCTTATCGCTTAAAATTGAGAAATTCCTAAAAACAGATTTTCGCTGAAAGAACCAAAATTGTCCCCCATATTTAGGCTCCTTCGTAAGGTTTTTAAAACTTTTTCAATCTTTAGTTATTCTTATAAATACGATTCCTACAACATCTGAAAGTTTTATTCAATTTGCAGGAAGTCGATGTAATCGTGGTATGCTTTCGAAAGAGCTGCCTGTCTACTCCAGAATCATTATAGTTCCATTACAAAAAATGGAAATATAATATATTGTTTTTACTTAATGAAGGTGGAGTCCGTAAGGACCCTAGATGGTCAATAAGTGGTAGTTCGACAGATGGGCTTGTCAGGGTT